TGTACCCTTGTGCCATATGCACCATTTGTTTGGAAATAAATTGATTTGTATAATAAAATTTTCATCTTATTTGTTTCATGAAATTAATTAAACTAATTTCAAACGCTATTTTCTTTTGGAAGGAGAATGAAAAGCCCCCGAATGGATGGATCAACAGGTTCTGCAAGACTTTAGCACATGATTGAAGATCTAGAATGAAATGAGAGGATTATGCTCTCAAAGTTAGACCTTCATATTAGCATACTAAACTACCAAGTCATTGGCAAATATTTATTTTTTTATTATAATGATTGGGATGTTAGGTAGACCATGATGTATGTTCTTTTTTTCTAACTAAAATTATTAGGAAGAAAATGCGACCAAATCTTCCCTTTATTTTAACATCAATAGTTATCTTTGCAATACCAGATTTTAAAATATTTTCACAAATTTTTTGCGCCAAACACATAAAAAGAAACAATCATCTTTCTCAACCAATCAAACGAGTCATCCGAAGGTTTTATAAGAACTTATGTTCATCAAGACTCTTAACACCAATTACCAATAAAAACTTATCTAATTGGATACTTACTAATTTAAAATTTTTAATTTAAGTCAAAATGAAAAATTCAAATATCTATGTTGTTCAACAACTAAACCTCTAATATATAAAAAAGAGACTCCAGCACTGTTTGCCAGTCCAAACACGGAGTGGCTCTTGCTGATCGTTATTAGTTGTTCCCAGTCTAGCTGATCTCAGTTGGGAAACAAGTCCCTCTTAATGAAGCTTTAAATTAGAATGATGGATTTTTGCTTTTGCAATTGCAATCAGATTAGGGTTCATTCCAGCCACGACTCTTTTCCCTCTTCTCATGTTGATTTCCTAAGACCCATTTATCCCTGAGATTTAATTAACCAGCTTTTCAAAAGACCGTCGAAAAGAGGAGAAATGAACACAGAAATTAAACCAAAATATCACAGAAGTTCTATACAATCCCCATCCTCTCCCTAACAACATCTCTAACAAGCCCATCTGATACAGCATGTCCACACTTTAATTTCAATTATTACAAAACCTAATGAATTGTTCTTCTGCCAAAGTAGAAGAGTGAAACAACTCCATACAAACTCAAGGGATGAAAATAAAAGAGCAAGAGAGAAACGCCAACAAATGTATGTGTTTTAGTGTTATATGTTCATTAGTGGTTATTCCTTAGCGTTTTGATGCACCACCAAACACTTCAGTGAAACATATGGGGCAAGCCTGGGTGAATAAAAGAATATCATTAGCACCTTTCAGCATGTTGTGAACTTACTGAACACAAGCATATTCTAATGTCGAAAAACAGATATCAGCTTACCTTGTTGATACCAAGCCATCTGGTTCCACAACCAACATGGTAGACATGTTTACAGGGTAGAGTGATTTGCCTCTCACCTCGTTTGTATTCCATCTGGCAAATCACGCATCTATTTACAACAAAAAGAAGCAAGTTAGAAGGACTAAGACAGAAACAAAACATGGAAAATATGCACAAGGAATTCATAAAATTGAATAACATGTCAGTCAGGCATGAGTCCCTTGCACACAGACAGATTCAACGTGTTAGGCATGCATTGCGAAAAAAGTCAATAGCCCCATTGACCATTAATCTAAGGATAACTAGCATATCAAAATGTCAGCCTTACCACAATCCATAAAACCAGATATCAAAAGAGAGCAGAGAAGATTATTCTTAGAGGTACCAATGGTATTTGCTGCATAATTATAGTAACCCATTTTTAAAACTGCAACTGTGCATCCACATGGTAAAATTAATCTCACTAAATACAAAATATATATATAAGGTGATAGAATAATTTCTATATAGTAAGTAGTAAATGCCTGTAAAGAAATAGTAAATGAACTGCAATAGTGTTTTCTCCCCAAAAAAAAAAAAAAAGGGGAACACTCCACCTATTTTTTTCAAATTTTATCTCTATTAAAAGGATCTGTTGAAATCTGAAGCACCCAAGAGAGAAAGGACAGCATTTCAGAACTTCTCAACGAGAAGAAAAGAAAATAAGAAATCACAATTTATAGAAGCAGAAGTCGTACCTCTCATTTCTTGATTTCTTTCTTGAGAACAGTCGACACTTGTATTTTGAGACTGGAAGCAAAGAAATAAGCTCTTGGGAAAGACCTCGACTTTGAGTTCCCACTGTCTCCCCTAATTCAAGTAATTCCTGAATAAGATAGATACAGTGAGGATGGATTGAACAAAAGATAAACAAAATGAAAAACAAAAACTTTCACATCAGATAAGGAAAATTTTGAGTTCTTTGGAAGGGTAACCAAAAATCAACTTCTGGAAATGTAATTTCATCAATCAAAGAGCACACAACACCCACAAATCAAAGAGTTTTTTGACCGCCAGCAGCAATCTTTTCTATAATTAATCTTTTTGGTCTCATATCATAGTCAATGATATATAGACCTCACTACAGTGCATGCCACCCAGTAGTCATGCAAATTTGGCAAACATCATGCCCATTACAGAATCACTCATGCTTCTCCAGGTCCAAAATGATCATAAAGTCTTAAAGCAAGTGTGGCTCCAACTCTCTTAGACAAAAAGAAAGCCTACATTATTTCCTATTTTGACAGCTAAACAAGCAAAATTGTAACATCAAAATTCAAATTCGAAGAAATAGAAGATGATGGCAAAAATTGAAAATTACAGAGGGGTTGTGAAAATCATCAAGAGTTCTATGGCTAAAACTTGAAAGCATGATTGCAACTATGCCAACTTATCAAACGCCCTATGCCGCAAGGTCCAATCTTGAAATGTGTTTTGAAAACCTGACATCCTTTTCCATTGTTCTATCTCTCTTGTTTTCAAAAATATAAATGCATTTAACTTTGAACAGGATTGAGAGGCTAGTAAGGCAATTGAGGTAATTCCCAGTTACCAAGCAAGTTCAGAATTTTAAAGCTCTAACCTCATAACTCATGTTGTCAGGATCAACATTGTCTTGCCAAATGACCTGCATAGTTCAAAGAATTTGACACGATTTAACTCATCTCCTCAACAATTAAACAACATTATCTTTAATTAAGAAAAGAGTATTAATTATAAATTATTAGCCAAACACCACAGAGCATCTTCAAAATGTTTATATTAAATATGCATAGAACTCCACAACCAACAAGAGCTTGGC